ATGCATGGAATAGCTATGAGAGTGAATAGAACACGTCTGAAAAGAATGGGAGTTCATCTAAATCAATTTGAAGTGAGCGTGTCAGGGACAATAGCTTTTCATGCAATCATAATTGATTACAATAATGAGGAACGCAATAGTATAAGAGAAGGCCCAGCGATTTCGATTACCATCATGAATGTGCTAATAAGATTGAACGTAGCCGTCATCTGAACATAACATGTGTGATTTCCATATTCCATAGGGGTAGGGGAGGGGATAACAGCGGCTTGCCAGATCATGAAAAGGGGCAATGAAGCACTCGAACATGAGAAACACTGCTATAAGACATTATTGATGTTGTCATTGCATTAGTTTTTTAGTCGTTACTTTTACTGTTATTGTTATTGTCATTATTATTGCTAATGAGGATTATATGGATAATAAAGAATCAGTTGGACTGATGCAAAAGGATAATTTCAGTATCCAATGGCGCCAGTAACATGATGAGTGCACGTGAGAGTAATAATGACGAAATAATGGTCCATTCACCGAATGACAATGCAAGAAGATGACATAGAATGGGTTGCGCATGCGCTTTACGGATGTAATTTAGATGTCGAATCAGAAGAAGCTGATGCACAACAACTTGACAATATCATCAAAGTGAGATTCCCGAGACGAAAGCAGCACTTCGCGAATCAATTAGAGCATCTTCTAGCTGCAGTCGTAAATGCGAATCTAATTAATTCGAATTATAATGAAATAGATTTATCTGCTCGCTTTGCTAATTCGCAATTTCCGGGAAAGTACTACTGCGTTAATAGGATTATTTGAGAAAACAGAAGTGACTCTGTTTCAACAAAAACATGATGGAACAAACACTATAGCGATTGTGCTGCAAGATCAGCAAAAGTATGGAAGAGGAAGAAGAGGGAAATGCATTTGTTTTGACAGATCATAATTCGCGATATAGGATTAGTTATAAGACAGAGTTTCAAAATGAGTTACTAACTGCATTACGAAAGATATTCAGTCAAAGCATTGAGCATGTTGGGACTCCTTCCATGACAGTTTAAACATACTTTTGTTCAGGAGTTATGATGTGAATCTGTAACTGAATTTAAGCATTTTTCAGGAAGTCTTATCGCGGTTATGGAACTATTTAAAAGTGAGTGCGATTTCATCGAAGGTGAACATCAAGCATATTCTAAGCAAAAGCTCAACTGTTCTAGCACTGAATGCTCATTTTAAAAACCTGTTGATTAGTAAGAGAATATTTTTAGACTCAGTCCCATTGCTATGAAATCTGCACTTAATGAAGCATATCTTCTGCATATGTGTCTCGGAAAAACTATTTGCTCAAGAAGTACTTGTTAAGGATCAGGTATTCTCCACGGAAGTGATTTTCGGGATTATCGTAAGTTATAATTTCAAAATCCAAGGAATATTGTTAATGGCTATAATACATTGCAGATAGCCGTAAGTCATCTCTTCGTCAGGAAGATAGTGGAGGATATCAAAATACTCATGCAAGATCGATTCAAAGCCGTCATCGATAGTATAATACCAGCGAATTGTTTGATACTGCATAAGCATTATGCATGGTTATGGACCCTAATCTGGCGTATACAGTGGATGATGCACTGAAAAATACGCTGCAACAAGCGTTTATCTCAGTGATAAAGTTTTTATCACTCATTGTGTAAATTTTGTCCT